TTTTTTTTTTTTTTCGTAAACGATCAGTATCGTTTTTCCGGAGGATAGAGGATTTGGATATAGAGGGAGGAAGCGATTTTAAGGTTGGTTGATATGAAGTTTAATCGAATTGTCGGAACGATGATATAATGAACGCTGTTTGTTTTTTCGAGAGCGAGCAAGCGGAATAAACGCGATCTATACGCGCTACTTTCCATTTAATCGAAACGCAATAAGATAATACGTAACCGCTTATTCTATTTTTTCACTTCTTATTCCTTAGATACCGAAAATAGATTCAGTCTTTTGTATTAGGCATTTTTATAACGTTGCGTTCTATACAATAGACTATATATATATATATATATTTATTTATTACGATGAAATAGTGATTTCAAAATACGAGTTGCATATTAAAATGGTTATTCAAATTAAAAATATTGTTATAACGTTTAGAAACAAATAATTGCAAAACGTGCATACCATTTAAAGTGGTGAAAAAAAAGAAGCTCTCGTTTCTCTGAACAATCTCTCGATCTATTCATTTGCATTTTCTTTTTTCCCAGACAGAAAAGCGAGCGAATCGTGACAATTGGAGAAAAGATTCTCGTCTAACGGGGCTAACGAACCCCGACCAATTAACAAACTGATTGAAATTTCGTCCCCATACGTGTGGGGAATTTCCATGGAAAGGATGGAACGAGGTTACTCAGACGCAGATACGAAATCTAAAGTAGCCGAGGCGACCTTCTTCACAAATTTATGACAAATCCTTCCGACTTTAATTACCAAAGATCCTTGATGTATGCATAAAATCTTACGTGATTACACGATTGTTTGTTGCTCGAAACAAATCAATCGAGTAATTCGTATTCATAAAAAGAATATGTATATATATATATATATATTTTTATTTGTGTATTCAACAAGAAGTTGTAACTCTGCGTGAAAATTAGACTTGTAAATTGTGCGAATGATTGGAACGTGTTATATAACGATCGCATTCTTGGAGAGATCTCGATGCCGCGTTAAAGAAAAAAAATAAGCTCGAGGTATTTGTTGGAAAATATCTTTAAAAAAGAGAGAGAGATCCTATTTAAAAAAACTTTCCAAATTTCTCTTTCCGCGCACGAATCCCACGAAAAATACTTAAAAACTCGTTTCATTGATCTCGAAGAAAAACTATCGCATCTAGACCAGGAATAATAACCTTCTTGACAAAGCAAAAAAAAAAAAAGAAAAAACGTTAGAACAAAGAAACATACGTCCTTGTATCAAAATTGAAGACTTAACAACAGGAAGCGAGAGTACCTTTTAAGTTGATTTCACGGTCAACGTGCAGAAGCCTCGAAAGCCTCTTCCTGATTCTTGACGATAACCGAAACGAGCCACTTCCTTGTAAATGAAAAAAAGAATCCCATCCTGCCTTATCGTCCGATGATAAAAATGTCAACGAACCTGAAACCGTGTATTCATCACCTTGACTCGAGGCTGGCCGGCGTTTACGACGACGCGTCTAATCGTTCATTCCTCGTGTTTCCCTGACCTACATGCTCTCTTTTTCTCTCAGCCTACGCTCGTGCCACTACGGTCTGGTCGCGCCGCTTTAGAGCGGGATTCCTGGCGGTAAAAGCTAGATCAGCGCGGGTAACAAGAGTAGCGAAATCTCGTGAGTCATTTCTGTTCGTAGTGGGGGAAAGATGGAGAACGGAGGCTAACGAAATAGGTGATGTCATTGGTTGCATCGGTTTTTGAGCAGGTTTTTTTAAATTGCGTGGATAAATTGTGGGGATTTTTATTAACCGGTGATTTCGATTTTCACTTCGAATTTTTGCACTTGGGAAAAATTGAAGATTTGTATTAGGTTTATCGAATTGGAAGTAGAGGGATTTTCGTGATTCCACTTGTGTGGATCGAAGAAGGATGATGCGAGGAATTTGAGACGAGCTTTTATTGGATGCAACTAGATTTTTATCGGGTTCAGGTGATTCTTATTTGGTAAAGCGAGTCGAGTTTGTAGTCGAGTGGAAGCGAATCTTTATGAGGTTTAATTGTGGGTTAGTGTTCAGTTGAATTCAGATGAAATCTTATCAGGTATAGAATTGGATTTGAATTACCTGTACTCTGATTAGAATTAATCGATGTTAGTTAAATTCTAATTACAATAGATTTATCTAATTAAGGTCTACTTGATTTTTTTTAAATCCTGATTAAATTTCACTAACAAGTTGATTCACAATTTCCCTTCTTTTAATCGGAAATATTAATTGATTAAATTTCTACTTGCGAAAACTTTTGAAATTTTCATTCTCTCGTTCAATCGTTCAATTTCTAACATCTTTTCTTATTGGATCAAAAAAAGAGAAAAATTCACAAGTCGATTTTAAAGTGTTGAATATATCTTTACTTTTATCGAGTAATTGTTTAAAAGTTCAAATTCTAATGATCGTAATCGCTTGATGGGGGGAGAATCGATGAAAATGATTTCGTGAATGGTTTATTTTTTTTTTTAATCCTACGATGAATTTCACGTGCGATTAATTGATAATTGTACTAACCATTTTCAAATTCGTTGCGATGAATACGGTATAGACGCAGCAAGTTCCCAATTGATATACCATAAGGAATAGGTTTATCGTGTGACTGCAAACAAACGATTTTTCTCGGTTGAAATTTCAACAAGATTACTTTATTATTGTGCTGTGTAGAGATAATCTCGTTAAGCATTTATTTGCACGCAAATCCGTTCATTTAGATTTTTCTTTTCTTTTTTTTTTTTTTATTATCTTATTATTACGTATCGCGATCTTGACACGATTCAACACGTTCTCGTGTTGATAATAATAATAATAATGATCATGAATTAAGGATAAACGCGAATAAATAATCGAGATATTCAAAAATTTCAAAAAATCTCGATCGTTCTCGTCGATATCTCTTCCTCTAAAAATATATTGCACCAATAACAATTTTACTACTACAAAAATTCATCGATCCTTAACCTGTTAACCATGAATTGACTCGAGCTCAAGCTTGATTACATATTTAATTATTAAATGAAATCTAAATTTTCGTTTGCGGTAATGATTCGAGTTAATAAATTGTAATTAATAAAAAACAGATTTTTCATTTAATTTCAACAAAAAAATCCATCGAGTTAACAGGTTAATAGAAGATGGAAAAATTTGGAATCTCTCGCTAAATCATTAAATTTTGTATCCCAAAA